GAGGGCAATCGCGGGCCTTCGGGCTCCAGCTCCGGCGCGCCAGCCTATCGCTGCCCCGATCCGCAGTGCGCGCTGGCCTTCTCTAAGAAGCACCAGCTCAAGGTGCACCTGCTAACGCACGGCGGCCCGCAGGCCCGGCGGCCCTTTAAGTGTCCGCTTGAGGGCTGCGGCTGGGCCTTCACCACCTCCTACAAGCTCAAGCGGCACCTGCAGTCGCACGACAAGCTGCGGCCCTTCAGCTGCCCGGTGGGCGGTTGCGGCAAGAAGTTCACCACCGTCTACAACCTGAAAGCGCACATGAAGGGCCACGAGCAGGAGAGCTTGTTTAAGTGCGAGGTGTGCGCCGAGCGCTTCCCCACGCACGCCAAACTCATTTCCCACCAGCGAAGCCACTTCGAGCCTGAGCGCCCCTACAAGTGTGACTTTCCCGGTAACTGAGGCTTGCGGGGATGGGCGGGGATAGGGCGCTGCAGAGAGAAGCCAGATCTGCAGCTCCAAGTGGTGCCACCCACTCTGAGCAGCGTTTTAGCGTGGGCTACTTGATTAAATAAGGGGCTAATATAAGTAAAGAAGCACTTACTTGTTTTGAGTTCTAGCTCCTCCCAGGTGACTAGATTTGAAGTTTGGACACTGTCTTGCTCCGGCATTTCCACTGCGAGGTAGCACAAATAATCATAGCTGCCCATGGAGAAGGCAACAGAGGGCTCTTAAGATGTTTCCATTTAATTGATGAAAGTGATAACACGTCTGCATAGAAGAGTTGGATTAGAAATCAGGCCTTTATTTTCTTTAGTCTTATGGTTTAGAAATATTCTATCATATATTGATGGAGTACAGCACTGTCGCACTGGAGGAACAAAGATGAATATGCCTAGCTAGGCTAGGTACAACACGTTACACACACTGAGAGGATGGCCACAGTGTATGGCACATCCATTTTTGTGTCTTTTATACTTTATATCCATTGCATTTCCCAATTCTGTGAAGTTTTTAAAAAAACCTTGTACTTCTGTGAAATTTAAGAACAAGTCTCATTTTACAGATACCGAGGCGGAGCAGTATTAATAAAATCCACTGCCCGTTCTTTCTCCAGTATGATTACCTGCCCTGACTGGGAATGTAAGACTCCAGCACAGTGAACTTTTCCCTGCTTTAGGCAGGTTAGGTGCTCTCAGGACAGGCTTACTCCAGAGAAGCAAGAGAACATTCTTAGCCTGGAAGGCTGGAGAATAGGGTAGGACCTGGCTTGGGGGTGAGTGAGTGGTATGGGCTGTGGTGAGGTTGTCGGAGGGCCTTCCCTATCCTGTTTATTAAAATATTCTTCAGAGCGCTGGGTATGTAGCTTAGTGGTAGAATGATTGCCTAGCATGCACGATGTTCCATCCCTAGCACAGCAAAAACAACTCCCTCAACACCCACACACAAACATACTTCAGCAAGCTCCTAGTGTGCCTCTTGCATGCATATTAACATATACATGTACTTGTATTGCTCTCCTAATAATAATGTATACTTTTATGTAATGTATGCATTATAAACTGCTTAAGCAGGGATTTTTAGTGGTATGAAAAATATTAACATGCTCTAATTTTTTCTTCTCACATGCCTTTGAAAGGTCTTGTGCATTCCTCTGGAAAGCATGGCTTTAGACTTCTGATTCTGTCTTCTTAAACTGTACACTCTTTTTAGCTAAACGTTTGTGGAAGTCTCATGACAGTTGTAGACTCTGGTAAAAGAACATTATTCTGTGTATAATCTTTGAACCATCTGGATCTGATTTGCTTCAAAGCATGAGGACCCCCTGAGGGTTTTATGTTACCTGGTCACTGGGGGCTTGGTGAAGCACCAGAGAATGTCAGTGGGAATGGTGCTGGTGGTGATGGTGGTAGGCGGTTCAGATAGGAGAGATTGCAGAGGTAGGATCCAAGGGCCATGGTTATTGATTAGTACACCTGGGATAGGAGGTTCTTGATAAGGTAGTGTGTCTATTCAGGTTTACCTGACCAATTGTTTGAATTCACCAAAGCCCAAAATAGGGAATGCAGGGAGACTAAATTCAGACCAAAAAGGCTTTTTACTTTTATGCAGTGCATAACCATGTGGTGGTGATTTACAGGCACACTGATAGCCACAACAGAGACACTTGTTAAACTTCTTGTAATTTAATGTCTTCTACCCAGTTTCAGCACTGAACATTTTTGTCAAAAGAATATTGGTGAAGTGTAGGCTTTTGGGCTGGTGGTACAGCTGGGGGCTGAAGATGCGGGTAGAGGGAGAAGCTAGATGAGTGAAGATTACAAAGCAGAACACTGAAGAAATGAATAAAAAGACGAAAGGAAGCCAGGTAACAAGACATGGAGCCAGCAGTTACAGAGGAGGAAATTCATAAATATAGAGGATGTAGCATCACCCCAAAGGGTGAAAAAATCTTACTATCAAAAGGTTTATAACCCTTCAAAGCTCAACTCCACCAGAAAAAAATCTTGTTCATAAATTGTTAATTTCTCTTCTGGGGTATTCTTATGCCTCACACAAGCAGTATTGACATTTGAGTTCATGGGAGGTACATCTAATGTATGCAAGATCAGTGCTGCAGAACTGGCAAGCAGGTAGCTGTGCTTGGAGGTCTTTCTTGAGCAATCAGTTGCTCCATCTCCAAGTCACACTGCAGCAGGTAGCCTGCTGTGCCTATGGGCTACCATCAGCTACCCCTGCTGTAGTTATTATAAAGGCAAATATTCACATTAGATGGAACTTCTAGGTCTTTTTTCAAGGTGAACTGTGTCCTGGGTTGCAACTAGCATTAACTGCATTGTATGATTTTTTGTTTGTTTGTTTGTTTGTTTGTTTGTTTCCACACTGTGAGCAAAGTTTGTGTTTTCTTTGTTCAGGCTGTGAGAAAACATTCATCACAGTGAGTGCCCTGTTTTCCCATAATCGAGCCCACTTCAGGGAACAAGAGCTCTTTTCTTGCTCCTTTCCTGGATGCAGCAAACAGTATGATAAAGCCTGTCGATTGAAAATTCACCTAAGAAGTCATACAGGTAATACTTCATCGTTTGGACGAAAGGCTTATCTGTCTGGTAGCTGTTGCATTTATCATTTTGCCATGTGACTTTTCTTTTACAAGGTGAAAGACCATTTATTTGTGACTCGGACAGTTGTGGGTGGACCTTCACCAGCATGTCCAAACTTCTAAGGCATAAAAGGTAATCCTTACATTTTGTTACATATTATCAACTTCAGAAATGGGTGAATTGTTTTTTTTGTTTTTTGTTTTTTGCTATTTAAAAAGAGTTCAATGTAGGTATTGAGAAGATCTGCACCCTATAAAAAAAGAATTACTGAAAATCTCTATATTTTTTATACTTAATTGGTATAGTCTCTATACAGTTACCTTTTTTAACATTGTAGAATTAAATTTCCTCATGTCATCGAAAACTTTTCTTGATGATAGTCTTGGGCCCATGTCCAGGCAGTGTGTTTTACACATGCATCTTATTCCATCTTCGTAACAACAGCTGTAACACTGATAATTTTCTGTCTGTTGTACAGTAAGACTCAGAGGGTGGGTGATTTTTCTAACCTTGTGTAGTTGGGGATTGAGTTGTTTAATATAAAAATATTATTTAGGAAAAGTCACAGTCTTTACAAGTTTACCTAAAAGGATCCTTTTAGCATTGCAGCCAATGCTATTTGTATACTTCTCATGGTTCTCTGTGGCTGTGAAAGCTTGTTTATTATGGGAATTTCTGTACATTGAAAATAGCTTCATCAATATGTTTGGGACTCAGTTGTTCCTACACTGAAAAAGCACTAGTTGTTCTGTGTCTGATTTTAGGGCTGCCTTTGTCATTAAAGTAGAATTTCTAATTATGGGGTAGCTAATTTGCAAACTTGATGTGGACTGAAGACAGAATTTCAGATTTTCTGAATGTACTGATCATTATTTAAAAAAAAAAAGAACTTGTAGTTCAGTATATTTTGCAGAATTTTAAAGACTCACCCCTGAGGCCTTGTGAGTTGTGTAAGTAATCCCCTCCCTTGTTTTCTTCTCTGGCAGGAAACATGATGATGACCGGAGGTTCACCTGCTCTGTGGAAGGCTGTGGCAAATCGTTCACTAGAGCAGAGCATCTGAAAGGCCATAGCATAACCCACCTAGGAACAAAGCCATTTGAGTGTCCTGTGGAAGGTAGAGTTTAAAGTGTTGCTTTGAACTATTAACTACATACCATGCCAACATTCATGGTGTAAGTTTAAATTGTTTTAAGGTAAGTTTTAGTTGCTTAAAGACAAGGTAAGTGTAAGTTGCACTGGTATATTCATTTGGCTTGTTGAGTAAGTTGCACATATTGTCTTGGGAGTTGGAAAGAGTACAGCCTAAAGTCCTGTCAGTATGCCTCTGGTCCCACCATGTATTTGTGGCTCTGGTGGTTATGAGGATTAGGTGAAGTAATGTGGAAAAAAAATTTCTTTATGCATCTGGCATATACCATGGGCTCACAAAGTGGTAGGTAACTACTCTTGTTGCAGTTGGACAGCAGTAAAGCAGCTACTTCTCTGGACTTTGGTTTCTTTCACTGGAGAAAGGGATAGTAAAACTCACTTAAAGCTAAGGCCAGTTTTTAGAAATTAATGAATGCAGTACAGGTGTTATAACCAAGCTACAGTCCTTCTACCAGCATTCAGCTGGGACTACATATGAGTGAAAAAACAACATGCAGGCTGTTGTAAAAACACAAGGGGTTCAAGGTACAAGATCCCAGTAATAAATGTAAATGAACTGTCTACCTAGAATGTACCAATAAATTCAATTTAAATTAAAAAAAAAAAACACAAGGGGTTCACCCATACTTCTCTTGGGGGTGTGGGCATGCCCTCCCCACCCCCCAGTCAGGCTCAGGAGGAGGATTCGGAGCCAGATCCATAGGGATTGTTGTGAGAGGCAGAAAGGCCAGTATGGGAGAATCTTTAAGAGCTCTAACAGCAGCAAGCCAAGTGCATAAAGTGATGGGATCATGTTCAAGTTGTGTGTCACTGTAGCTTTGTGACTAAAGACATACAGGCCTGCGGGGTGCTGGTAGGTATCCTGGGATGATGGATGTGCTTGGGCTGGAAGCAAGGAGGGAGAAAAGTGCATCCACGATAGAGGTGGGAGTTAGAATTAATAGTACATGGTGAGATATGGACCCAAATGGAGGTTGAGGGAAAGATAGTCTCAGCTGACCTCTCAGCTGAGGTCAGAATGTGGGAGCTATTTTGGAAGTGGGGGTTGGTTTGGACTCACTGAATTTTATTTACCTGTAGCTTTGTAAGTTCAGGTGCTTAGAAGTCGAACATGTTTGTGCTACTGGAACTTGGTGAGCTGGCTGAGCTAGGAGTGAAGCAAGTAGCATGTGAGTCATCGTTTAAGTCATGGAAGTGGATGGACTTCTCAGTAAACAGTATAAAGCATAAAGGCTGTCTAGGGTGGTGATTAAAATTGTGAGTTCTGGCATCAGACTGCCTGGATTCAAGACCCAAGTGTGCTACTTAAGTAGCTCTGGGACCTGGAACAAGCTGCTTAAGCTCTCTGAACTTTTTCTCATTTGTAAAATGAGTAAATCTCATAAGGTTGTTAGGAGGGCTCAATTAGTTGCTAAGTTTTAAGCATATAAAAACATCAGTATACGTCAGTTGCCATTGTCTGTTTGTTTGTTTGTTTGTTTTTAAGCCTATAATAGCCCTAGGACTGCTATAGGTTCAGAACGGGTGTCATGGCAGGAGCCCTGGTGGCAGGTGATGTTGAGCTTAGAGAAAAGATGTGTAAAAAAGGGTCATCCAAGAATACCAAGGCTATCTAAGATTGGGGGACACCTGTAGAGTTGATATGTTGATGGTCAAGGTTCTATGGGGTAACTGAGGCAGAGCTCTGCTCCAGGACCCTGAAGCATGGCCCAAGTGTGAGGCAGAAGACTGTGCATACTGACAGCCCTGATGGAAGTGACTGGGGCAAGAGTAGTAGCTGGCTACAGAAGAGGCGCAGTTATTTTTGAAAAGCTCTCAAGGAGCTTCAAGCAGTCCTAAAGCTGAGGTACCAGTAGAAGGAGGCTGACAGCGATAAGAGAGAGGGATGACCCATCAGTGTTTGACTGAAGGCAATAGTTAGAGAACATTCTCCATGCCGCACTGGAGGGAGAATTATCTGGTAGAAGGATGGATCCCAGAGCCCCTTCTCTGACTGACTGAGAGAAGTTACTCCCTCTATTGAGACTGGCTTGTGGCACATCATCAGGTGGTGGGACACAACTGCAGGAGCCCAGGGTCTGTAGGTAGACTATTGTAAGAAAAGAGTCTGTAAAGGTATGATAGGGGCAAATGAGTAAGGACCATGGATGCCTCTGAAGGTAATTTTGAATTTTATTTCATTCTCGAATGAAGCTTTGCGCTTTTTTCCAGGTCAGGCTCTGTACATAAGTATAGCTATATTTGGTCCTCATAACTCTATGAGGTAAGTATTATACCCACTTTACAGAAAAGAAAAAGGAGTTCTGCAAAGGATAATTTACTTAATAACTAATAGGTAACTGAGCTAGAGTTGGAATCCAGTCACTCATGCCATAGCTGGGCAACTCCCTTGGCCTGGAACACCCTTCACTGCTGCCTGCTTATGAGATCTTTTTTCTATCTGTTCAGGAGGTATACTGTTTCCTCTGCTTCTAGAGCAGCTCATTGTTATTCAACTCATTTTATTCAACCCTTTATTATAAGAGCTGACTGTTCTCAGCTCCTTCCATATCATAGGCTTTTGGCTACAAGAATTCCACTTCCCCTTTCTGTGTCGGTATGGAGCAGAGCTGTAATATAATAGGAAAGCAGGGCATGAAGGGAAAGTGTAATTTTTAATTTGTTCTATTTTACCTGTGATGATTTTATGCCGATTGGAGGAATAAGTGAATAGACTATAATCAGGGAAATGGTAGCTCTCACTCATTCATGGCCCTGATTTAGGAACACTTGCTCAGTCTCTGGGTATCAGCTTCAGAGGTAAAATGAAAGAAGTTGGGTTTGGTGATCTGTTGAGATAATTCTAATTCTTAATATCATAGGGTTGTAGTTTTATAGTAATAGCTTAATAAGGGTGACTGGTATATATTTTTTGCAACCAAACATTCTGGAGTTGTTTTGATTTAGTCTTCCCAGCAACGCCATGTAGTGGGAGAAGAAGCAGGAAGAGTTAGCCAAAATCACACATCTTAGTCATGGCACACACAAGACTTTAGATTTCCTTATGATTTTTTTTTTAATTGTTGTTTTTTTGTTTTGCTTTTGCTTTTTAAAAAGAACTTGCTTTGGGTTTTCACTCCTCTTGATGCTACTCCTGGGGCTGGTCAGTGTTCATCCCTTGCCAGCAACTAGTGTTTGGGAATGTGATCCCATGATTCTGATCTGATGAGGGATTGTTCTTTGTTACTGGTACTTTGGTTTCCTCAGGTATAACTCATTCTTTTCTGTTACAGGGTGCTGTGCTAGGTTCTCTGCTCGCAGTAGTCTGTACATTCACTCTAAGAAGCACCTTCAGGATGTGGGTGCTCCAAAAAGCCGCTGCCCAGTGTCCAGCTGCAACAGAATCTTCACCTCCAAGCACAGCATGAAGGCTCATGTGGTGCGGCAGCATAGCCAGCGCCAAGGTCTGCATTTTAAATCTCTCAGAGAGTTGCAAAGATATGTGAGCCTGTGCTCACAAGAGAACAGAAATAATGCTATTCCTTCTCACCTGCTTTCTGAGTTGTCTAGACTATAAGGTCAGAGCCCATGGATTTTGGTCACTGAGCTAAGCGAGCCTCTTTTGTACTCTCTCCTACCTCTTTGTTGCCTCTTACCTTTCCCTGGTCTTTGAAGTACTTCCCGTGAGAGTGTTAATTCTCTCACTTGGTTGTCTCTTTGTTTCTTAAATATGTGTCTCCTGGACATTTGTCTAATATGTGAACCTACCCTCTAGTATTGCCATATTCTCTCCCTCCTCACTCACTTTTATTTCTACTGAGCGAGCACTCAAGCCTGTCTCCTCCTCTTGCTTCTGCTTTGAAGTAGCTTTTATACTGTGAAAGATTGGTTTCCTTTGGGAGGCAAAAAGTCATCCAAAATCTGAGCAAAGTTGTGTTTCCAGAATGGAGAGAGGGGGAATAAATGCTGAAGAGGAAGGATTAGAGAGGCATCGTGAAAGAGGTCAAGGGGCACTAAATGGGAAGGATTCTGAACATATCAGTACCTGTCATTTGGTACTTTATGGGGAAACTGCCTCTCTAGGCCTTATCCATAGTCATATAGGCAAGATGTTGAGGGCTTCTGGATGGGAGCACTGGCTGCCCCTGTCCTAGAGCACTCACATAGACCCTGCTCTCTGGGATGTGGGGTTGCTGCTTGTGGTAGTGCCTGGCTAAGGAAGTCCTAACTTAACAGAAGAGTTACTTCTGCTCAGAGTCTGTGGAAGCTGTGTGTTACCGTAACCAGTCCTACCTCCTTGTGACCTGTGTAGTAAGCTGCACTGTGGTAGAGGCAGAATACCAGCCTGGAGGCATATCCTCTTCCCAGTAGGGAGCCTAGGCAAGGGAACAGGTCTTTGAGCCCCATTTCCCTCACCTTTAAAATAAAGAAGAAATTTGAGCATCTCTTCGAAGGAGCCTTGTTTAAGTGCCTACTGCAAAACCCAGTGTACAGTTGGGGCTCAGTGGAGGTTTGTGTCATTCCTCTGGTTTCTTCTGATCCTGTTGAGGTCATTTAAACCTTCTGCAGTTCACAATGATTACCCAGTTCGCTTTGTATTTAAAGAAGTTGCCTTTCTTCTAACCTCATGAGTATCTTGAGAACAAGAGGATATGTGTCCTACCTAGTATGTAAAAGATGTCACAGAGTATCACCTTTGCTCACAGTCTCTGAGCCACCAGGGCCCCTTCACTCATTCCTAACATTCCCTCTCAGGGTACACCTCTGCCATTTCCTAACCTCAGTGATTTAGTGGCCACCAGAAGCTCAAAATTGTTCTAGATGAGCTTTCCTTAAACTCTGGTTAGATGTGAGACCCTCTTAGTTGTGTTTGGAATGCCCACTGTATCCCAAGTGTGTATTTAAAATGTACATTGACTTATTTGTGTCATTTTTCCTGTTGGCCAGAACAACAGGTACCACAGTCCTTCCCTGGTGGAAAACAAGCACTCAGGAATGTCTGATTACTGTGGGATCATGCCAGGCCTTTGATGGGGTGTTTCATTCACCCTCACGGCAGTCCTGCTGCTGATGAATCTGAGGTGAAAAGGACTTGCCGTGGTTACACTAGTAGGAAGAGCTTGAGGTGGAATTTGACCTGAGATCTGTTCACCTCTCAATGGCATGATCTAACCATTCCCATTAAGTGCTCTACTAACATTTTATTTACTGATTTTTTTCATGTGTGTTGTTGCACATGACAGTTTTCCAGGTAATATTTGAGAATTAATAAAATGCTAAAAAGGAAGCTGTCTAAATTGGTATCTGTTCACACTGAGATTAGTCTTAATTTCACAGGTAGCTAAATCTTTGAGAGGAACACGGGAAGTTTTGAAAAATTTTGAAAAAATGAATTTTCCAATTTTATTTTCTCCAAATTCCCTTTCAGAGTATTCCATTTGTTCTACAACTCTTAATGATGAAACTTCAAAATCATAAAAGAACTAAAGAAGATACAGTTTTTTTTGTTTTGTTTTGTTTTTTTAGGCAGGGTCTTCAGAGTCTTACAAATTGCCCAGGTTACCCTTGAACCCACAGTGCTCCTGCCTCAGCCTCCCAAGTAGCTGGGATTATAGGCACACAACACCATGACCAGCATGAATTTGATCTTTTTTTTTCTTTCTTTTTGTTTTAGATATTTCTTTCATAGGCTTGTATTAAAAATATAGTATATGCTCTGACTTGGAAAGAGTGAGTTGGTGGTTCACTAGTACTTGGTATGGAAGGAACAGAAACAGCCCTTTCCCTCTGCACCAGGCACTAGCTCAGTCAGGATGCTGCAGTGGAGGTTTCTCAGGAAAAAAGCAACCAAGCCTTATTTGGCTCTGTTGCCCAAATTCATCGTGCTCCCATTTTCTGTTTGCACAGTGGTTAAAGAGTCCTGCAATTTGATATGTTTGGTGTGGACTTGTTTATAAACCCTTAGCTTGAATATTCACTGACCCTTTTTTGTTTTTTGAGTATGTTAATGTTTATTGTTTCCCCAGAAGTTTTCTATTAAGATAAATTGAATAATAATCAAAGATTTAAATAAATACTTAGTGTTATAATAAAAATTTAAGATTCCAGAAGAGGAGTCTACTGAATTATTTCAGTATAATCTTCACAAGCTGCAGAGAGCCCCAGAACTGTGCCAGGCACTGAGGGCAGAGAAGTAAGTTAAATGGGCTGTCCATCCTCAAGATCTTAGCTCTGGCCTGGGGGCCATTAGAGGCTGCATGTGTGAAGGAGCTGGGCAGGGGAGCAGAGACAAAACAGGAGAAGTCCATCAGGAGTATTCGTCTAGGGCAGCAGAGCACCTGGGAGGGTCTGATAGTCAAACTTTGTATCTGCCTAGAGCTGGAATTTTGATTGCAGCCTAGAACCAGGATGATTTTGTTCCCCTTGACTACATCCAGGTAGCTCAGATCAATTTTGGAGTTACAGATTAGTTGTAGAACAGGGTACAGACTTTGACAAGACATGAGCTGATAGAAGCTGATTACAAAAATTAACTCCAGACCAGCCAGAGTTTGTCTTATTGGCTTCTCGCTTCTAAAGACTATACCATAGAACGTTTCACAGTTTTCCGGGTTACCTACTGTCATGTAGGAAAAAGTGCAGGCTTTGAAACCAGAGAAACTAAAATCAAATTTTACTTTGTTTTTTTACCAGTTAACTGGACTTTAGGAAACATTATTTAATCTCTCTCCCATCATATCCTGTGGAGAAATCTGTCTGTCTGGTGATTTGAGACATGTATGGGAAGAACCTGACATTTGGGAATCTGTTTCTTCCCTTGATATCTATCAACTAGTCACTAACAGTGCGCTAGTAGTGGGTTCCAGTCATCAAGTTCCAGAAAGGATAACAAATGTGGCCTTAGAGGTTACTTCTAACATCTGGAGCATAAGCAAGATTTCTTAACACTCCTGAAGTCGTAAATAATGAGTGTTCATTCTTTTTGCAGATCTTGTACCTCAGCTAGAAGCTCCAAGTTCTCTCACACCAAGCAGCGAACTGAGCAACCCAGGACAAAGTGAGCTCACTAATATAGATATCTCAGCACTCTTCTCGGATGCACCTGCCAACAGTAATAGTTCAGCAAGTGGGCCAGATGAGGCACTGAACTCTGGAATCCTAACCATTGATGTCGCTTCTGTGAGCTCCTCTCTGGGAAAGAACCTCCCTGCTAATGATAACTCTTTAGGGCCCATGGACCCCCTGGTCTTGGTGGCTCACAGTGATATTCATCCAGGTGCAGATACCCCTCTTGTTCTTGGGACTTCAGCCACAGTTCTTCAGCCAGGCGGCTTCGGCCTAGAAGATGTTCAGGCTGTGAGTCCAGGAACAGTAGGCTGTCTGGTGGCATTGCCCATGAAGAACTTGAGCCAAGACCCACCTTCTTTGACTTCCAGGGGTAACTTAGCAGCACATTTCACCACATCAGCCTCTTCAGGCATTTCCCAAGAAACTGCCAGTGCCCCAGAGCTTGTAACTGCAATCAAGGTGGAACAAGACTCACTTCTTCTCCCTGATATGGTTGAGCAGCAGGAAGGAAGCCTAGGGCCAAGCCAGTCTGTGTTCTCCAGCCCCACAGAAAGGCATGGTGCCCAGAAGGACACAGAGCTCAGTGCAGGCACTGGCAACCTCTTTTTGGTATGAAGCACTCTATTCAGTCACCACCGTATAGCTCACTTCTCTTACATTCAATTTTAAGAATATTATGCAATTTCTTACTGGTTTGCAAAAGGATGGAACCCTGGACTCCAAGTCTGAAAATCTGAATCCTGCCTTGAGTCTCAGAACTGTTGGTTCCTGTGACCTTGAGCAAATCATTTAACCTGTTTGAGCCTTAAATTCTCAATTTATTTTTAAAATAAGGGGATTGGCCAAATTATTTTTAAGGTCCTTTTAACGTCTATGACTCTGTGATAATGTGTTTATTTTGTTGAAAAACTTGGGGCACTTCATAACATTGAAATGTTTTGCCTTTGTGCTTTTCATATAATTACAAGTCCTAGAAGAGGAATTATGGCATAAACTACCTTTAAAGTTTAATCGAAACTTGAAAATCATGCCAAAGCATTGTTTTAAATTATAATTGGGGGGAGTGGTTTATGAGCTTTCATTCTTGGAGAATACTACAATTTTGAGGCTGGACAATTTTAATTTATATCACTTATGCATTTATTATAATTTAATTTAAAATAATTTAAAGAGTCCTAGAAGAGAATCTTCAGTGTACAATGGAAATGATCATCTGCAAAAGTGATTTTTTTCTTTTCAGCACAAGAAATTTGATGGAGACATTTCTATTATTCAAATGTTAAATCTTTTACCATAGCTTAAAATGTTAAATCTTCTGGATTGGGATAAAGTGTGAGGGCATTAGGAAATGATCTGCCATGGAGCCGACTTTTACTTCTTTCAGTGTGAGAGAAGGCAGTCTCTGTTTCTCCGTTTCTGGTGTCTTCCTTGGTGGTGGCAGAGCCACGCTTGCCAGCATCTATTTAGGCTGCCACAGCAGTGGCTCAGCAACTGGTAACTGGGCAGGGACAGATGGGAGGTCAGAGCCAAGTGGAAAGTTAGTCCCTTGACATTTGGTGCCTTGGGAAGCAGCAGTGTTTTGTGCCTCACTGCATCTCCAGAGCCATAACTATGGGTGGAGGTGGAGGAGCCAGCAAGACCGTAGTCCTAATCCCTTGTTCATTTTCTTGCTAGCTGTGTGAAGTCGGGCTCCCTCGCTTCTCTGAGTACAAATGGTGTGTGGTGAATGGGTTACAGGTATGCCATGAGCTGTAGAGGGTTATTCTTCTCTCTTGAGTGATAACTATTAAGCTGTTTTTCATATGAAACATTCACAAATATATATAACAGTTCACTGTTGAAATACTGTTCATTTGGCTCCCTCAGTAAATTTGCTGAATTTGGTAGCATACTTACTGTATTGTTCTGTGAGACTGTGGAGTATAGCACCTGCTGCCAGAGAGGCCTCTGTAGTGAGCAGAGGAGGCTGCTCTGTCCACGGCCTGCTGTGCAGGGTGCAGATAGTACGGAAAACCTTTCTGTGTTGCTGTAGTAATGTAATCCTGGGGATTCAGTGGAAACTAGGTAACTGAGAAAGCAGGGAGATAGGAAGTTCATTTGGTAATAGTTTCTGTGTAACATTTTAATGTTTTAGACTTTGGAGGAATAAACTCCTCCAGATAATATTTACATATTGTTCCAGATCTGATTTTATTTAGTTATCACTGTAACTGGTTGTAACATTTGGTTCTCTGTGTGCCGTTTCTGGATTACTGAACTCTAAAATGTTCCAGAAGCAGGCTTAGGACATTTCTGTAGTTCCCTTGCTACCCTTCTTTTGCTCTTTAGATCAAGTGACTGATACACTTTTCTTTGGTCTCAGGAAAGTGGGGGCTCAGCAAGAACTGATTACCGAGCCATTCAACTAGCCAAGGAAAAAAAGCAGAAAGGAACTGGGAACGATGCAGGTGAGGCCAAGTGTGCTGCAGTGCTGGTGAACAAGGGGCCGAGTTCTCTTGTGTCACAGTCACAGGCAGAGGAAGCACGCAGAACAGATGTTTCTGTGTTCTTCGTTTCACTTTTATGTGCAAAATGCCCTTCGATCAACGCCTTAGTTTTATGTGAACTTAGAAAAAAATAGGAGCAAAATTCCCTGCATGTATAAACATGCTTTACTTACTAAAAAAAGCTCAGTGAAAGGAAGGGGTTCAAACACAATTGTCAGTTATATGGAAGCTACTGTGGTAAATGAGCAAAGCAGGCCAGGGATTAGAAAAGTAGAGGGTGGCCTGATGCTAACTTGCTGCTGGGCCTGACCTTGATGAGTAGATCTAGGGATGAGACTGCTGCTGTCTCCAAGGGTAGCAGTATAAGGAGCCAACTCTGTCCTGTACCGTGGTGGCCTCCAGTTTAGGGGTATGTTAAAATCTAGTATCAGCAGATTATTTGAATTTTTAAAATACACTGCATGGATCAACTAAACCCTGGCAGTTTATGGCCTTATGTGTCTGTCCCTACTGAAGGTGAGATAGTAGGATGTGATACTTAAAGGAAATTGGTAAATCCTTGTATAATATTAACATTTTTCAATATACTATTTTATATCAATACTCTTTAATCCTTTATCTGCACAAACACAAATGCAGCTGTCTCCTCCAAAATCATAAAACAAATTAGGTTCATAAACCAAGGTACCACTGTACCTGTTAACATTCATTGCATTGCCTGGGAGTAGTATCTATAGAGATGGTTTGATTTTTTAAATTATTGTTTATGTAAATGTCAACTTTAAAAAAATAAGACCACTTTAAAAATCATAGCCATATATTGTTTCACTTTTTTAAAAAATTAACAGTATTTCCTTAATATCCAGGTCTAGTAAATGTTCAGATTTTCAGTCATGTCAAGTGTTTTAAATGTATACTGTCTATTGGAATCAGAATCCAAGTAAGGGCTTTCTGTTGATTTTAGTTGACACACTGTATTTCTAAGTCTGTTTTAAACCTATAGTTCTCCCTCCATCTCTCCCTGTGTTTGTTGAAGCAACTATGTTTGGTGGTGTGATTAGCTTATTACATCATCGTGGTATAGATTAGCAGATTCCTCTGCTTTTTTGTCTCCCATAATTAGTTTAGGCTTGAGCTGATTGTTTGGGGTAGGCAAAGGAGGGGCTGGTAAAACTCCTTCCCAAGTGGTACTAGATCAGTCGTGGGCGAACGTGGGGCACACTTGTGGCAGTGGGCTATTTGTATCATTGAAAACTAAAAGGTTTGCCATCACTGTATTAGACTCTTCTTGGAAGCTCCTGGCTCTAGTGTTCCGCCACTGATGGCCTGTGGTGGGCTTCATTAATTCCTTGGTCATAGCAGAGAAATGCTACTCAAATTCAGTTTTTGTTGTTGTTTTTTAGTTACAGTACTCTGTAAAAAGCAACTTCTCAATTCTTTACTTTTAAGGCATAGTTCAAATGAGAAATTCAGGATGTTTGAATATTTTTCCTTGTTGGATTTCAAATAAGACTTGATTTCTTCACCTCTTCCAACAGTTACCAAAGTATTTTTCATGTACTTATTAATTTAAACATTATGTTGTAAATTTTTATATGAAATAGAATATGGTACCTGCCAGGGGTCTACCTTTTGAATATGGAAATGTCCCTATAAGGGTGAAGGCTTACTTATCTATCTTCCTTAAAAAGCCCTCTTGAAATAACTGCAATCAAGAGAGGAAGGAGCTGGGTGTGGTGGTGCACACCTGTGATTCCAGCGCTTGGGAGGGAGGCTGAGGCAGAGGCAGGAGGATTGCTGTGAGTTCGAGGCCAGCCTGAACTACATAGTGAGACCTTGTCTCAAAAAAAAAAAAGAAAGAAAAAGAGAGAGAGGAAGGCCACAGTCTCTTTTCTAATGCCTTGTGGCTAACTGATTTTCCCCCAACATTTTATTTGCTGTAATTTCACATTTACAGAAAACTTGTTGCTATGAGTAACGATTTTCTCTGTGTATTGTTACACCTTCGTGTCCCCATCTATGATACTCATTGTCCAGTCTGGTAGATCCTGGGACATCTATCAAAGCTGAATGTTTGTTTGTTTGTTTGTTTTTTGGTACTGGGGATCGAACTTGAGTCCTTGCACTTGCGAGGCAGGCGCTGGAACCACTAAGCTAAATCCCCAGCCCTCAAAGCTGAACGTTTTCATGGTCTCAGTGCTGTGAGCTGATGACAGACTTAGTTTCTGACCAGGCACACTCCAACTCCCTTCTCTGCCCCACCCCGTCTAGGTTTCTACATGTGTTTTTGTCCTTAGGTCTCTGTCTTTTCCAGCTTGTATTAGAGCCTCAACTCTCTTTTGCCTGTTATAATACTCTTGAAGAGGACAGGCCCTTCAGCCAGTGGGCCTTTCCTCCAGGTCTGTTGGAGCTAGAGGTGTGGGACCCTCTCTATCACCCTAAGGTACAAGCATGTTGATGCTGATCACTGGCCTTTAAGGTTGTGCCTGCCAGCTTTCTTCACAGTAAATGTCTTTTTTTTTTTTTTTTTTTTTAAATTTTTTTTTTTTTTTTTTTTTTTTTTTTATTCCTTGTAATTAGTGAATATCTTGAGGCAGTTTCTTTAAGAATATCTGCAAAATTCAGGAGCCCTAAGCACACTCTTTAGATTCAGTAATTCTCTAGAACTGGTAAAACTCACAAAAAAGCTGTTGTTGTAATCATTGTGGTTTATTGCAGTGAGAGGACCTAGGTTAAAGCCAGGCCAGGAAGGGATGTAGGAGAGAGTCCCCAATAATTCTGTGTTGAAGATTCTCAGTGCCTTCTGTGGACGGTACAAACTTTCCTCATCATGTGACAACACACATAGCATTACCAACCAGGGAAGCTCACTCAAGACTATCCAGGGTTGCTGTTGGGGCTCAGTTGTATAGACTGTTTGATCTGAGTCTCCAGCCCTTCTAGAGGTAGAGCTGTCACTGTACAATCCAAGGCTCTTACTGAATGTCATATTGTTACTGCAAAAATGTCCGTACTGGCCCAACTACCCCAGGAAAATAAGGACGTACTTATCAGGCAGGACATTCCTACAGATCACTTCCAGGAACCAGAGTAGGATTAATCCTTTGTAATGCCCTGCAGATACCCTGTTCCTTTTTAAACTTTGCAGTGATTTAACACTTACAGTGGATATTGCCTATAGTATTGTTATAGTGTTGTCCATGGTGATTTTTTATTCCCATCATTCTTACGTGTTTATTCATTAGCATTCATGTGTAAAGTGGAGCCTTGTCTTATCTCCCATTTGTTCATTTCATTAATGTCAATATGAACATAATGGCGTTGCTTTTACTCCTTACATTATGTTCACTTTTGGATTATAAACTACACATGATGGTACATACCTGTAATCCCAGGATTCTTCAGAGGCTAAGACAGGAGGATCAAAAGTTGGAATGGAGCCTGGGCAACTTAGCAACATAGCAAAATCCTAAAACATAACAAAGGAGGGTGAATGTGGTGGCACATGCCTATCTAGCATTTAGGAGGCTGATGCAAGAGGGGCACCCTGAGTTTGAAGCCAGCCTGGGCAATATAGAGTTCAGAGTCAGCCAGAGCTACATAAGGAGACACTGCTCACTTGGATCTCAGTAACACTAAATAAATAAACAAATTTTAAAATTGACCTTTGAACAATATTAGTATTTATTTATTGTTCTAATTGTTCTAAGTGTTCCAGCTTTGGCCTTTAGGAGCTTCAGTCAAATTCTTGTGCCTTTCAACATACTTTTTTAAAGCACTTTCTTACTTTCTGACACCCTTAGACTCAACTTGTATTATTCCTGCCTTAGCTCTGGAATCTGTAACTTTTCTAGAGCCTTGGTTCTTTTTTATTAAATAATGATATTTAGACCCAAATGTGAATGCTGGGTTTGCTTATTGCTACCACAGTATCTTGGGCTAGGCTTTCTCAGTAGCCCGTGCTGGGAAATACGTAAATACATTTATGTATATTAACCTGAACTAACTGTGTTTTGAATTCAAAATATTAGCAGTTTTAAAAAGGTAATACAGTACATAGTGCTGTTACATAGTACTTAGTACAGTACATAGTACTGTTACTTAAAATCCCTTGTTACTCTGTTGGTACTTCTCAGTAAAATATAATCATCTAAGTGGAATCAAATAAATAGAATCACGTCAGTTTAGGTCTGGTTTTGCTGCAGAATTATTGTTGGTACCAAGTTTTGGTGAAATTTTTAGGTTTTGGAACTGTTAGGTTTTAAGATTAGATTGAGGAATTATGAATTTGTAGCAAACCCAGCAACAGAGAAGTTATAATGTAGCAGCACTGTTGGTAGAATTAAGTCATTTAAACACAGAAGCAAAGTACATGTTAATCCTTTAAAATGTGCAGTCTGAAATAATGGGATCTAAAATTCAAGGCACTTCCTGTTGTGTTGGCATTGAATGTAGAAATATAAAATTGGTGCTACTTTCCCTTAGATGTTGAGCTTCTCACATCAGAATAACCCAAGAATTTTTTCACAATATGAGAATGTCAGTTTTTAATTCTTGAAGCCAACGGCGAAATATACTTACTGTTAAAAAAGAAAAAGAAAAACCCTTCAGAATTATAAATGGCAGTGTACCTTCCTGCTCTGTAAGGGCAGGGAAAACAAATAGGCATGATACTTACCAGAAGAGACAATAAACAGCAGGATACATTGTGACAGAAAACAGAGTACCTGTCTCACAGTAAAAAAAAAAAAAAAAAAAAAATGCTGATTCCCCTACCTGGATATAAAGATTGAATATGTCAAAAACCAAAATCCCAGCTATATGTTATATAGAAGAGGCACACCCTATATGGAAATATTTAGGAAGATTAAAGTTAAGATAAACCAGAACAAATAAAAAAAACAAGGATTAGTGTTATGAGAAGTATAAAATTCAAAGAAAAAGAAATAGGACTACAAAGA